CAAGGACTATGGACTAAATCAGGTGCACCTTAGTCTCCAGATTGACATCATTGCTCTTCAGTACTCTGGAAAGGTCCTTGACAGCAAATGTTCCTAGCATAATTCATCTTTTCCTGGCTTCTGGTACTAAGAGTGTTGATTGAGCAAACTAAAGCTGTTAACAATCTCAATCTCATTACCATCTATCATGATTCTGCCAATTGACCCAGCAGTGAGAATCGTTGTTTTCTTGATGCAGTGCTTCAATCCATACTTAAGACTGCATTCCTGGATTTTCTGCAGCAACTGCTTCAGGTCCTTCCATTTCAGCTAGCAAAGTTGTGTTATCTGCATAATGCAAATTGTTGATGAATCTTCCTCCAATTCTGATGCAACATTTCTTCTCATAGATGATTTGGCCTCCCAGATGATCTATTTATCAACATAGAACTGCCAGAAGTGCAGGCTGGGTTTAGAAGAAGCTGTGGTACTAGAGATATTGTAGCTAATGTCAGATGGATCTTGGCTGAAAGCAGGGAGTACCAGAGGAAAGTCTATCTCTGTTTCATTGCCTATGCAAAAGGCATTTGACTGTGTGGATCACAACAAACTGTGGCTGACTCTGAGATGAATGGGAATCCCAGAACACTTGATTGTGCTTATGTAAAATCTATACTTTGACCAGGATACAGTTGTCAGAACAGAGAAAGGAAACAGTGCATAATTCAAAATTGGGAAGGGTGTACGCCAGGGATGTTGTCGGTTTGGATGTGATGTCTCCCCCCTCTTCATTACTCTATGTGTGTTCCTTGGCATTTCCGTGCTCTCTATCGCAGGGTATATTCGCCTAAACATAAGGCTAGTGGGTTTATAGTAGAAGAAGATAACTGTTGTATATGTGTGTGTCATGAAATGATTAAAGGGCATATTCATTCATTCATTCTTTAAACCACAAAAAACATTTGTCCTTACTAATAAGTTAAGCTAAGGAGCCCTGGAGACACAGTGTGTAACGTGTTGGACTGCCTAATAAAAGATCAGCAGTTCAAATCTACCAGATGCTCCCCCAGAGAAAGATGAACAATCTCCTCCTATGAAGATTTACAGCCTTAGAAGCAATGGAGGTCATTAGGAGTCAGAATCAAATCAGTGGGAGTGGGTTTGGATTTTGTAAGAACTTAAACTAGCCAATAGTCAAACTTGCCATTGTTTGTAATGGGACATCTTTATACTGAGTATCCTGCCAGGTTCTACCATGAATAAACCTCATGATATGAGATAACCACAAAGCCACCATTTTTTATGTCTTTCATCCAAGGAATTATGTTTGAAAAAGGACATTTTTTCACAAAATTGCCTATCATCTTGATATTTGAGTAAAATAAAGAAATCCACTTTTGATAATTTGAAATCCCCTTCCCTGACTGCTCACATATATTTCCTAACAGGATATTTTTTTAATTGTTTTTAATCAGGATATTTTTTTAATTAAAGAATTTGCATCTAATCAGTCAAGTGAAAATGAAAAGTAGAAATATCATTTGGAATGAATGAAGGAAACATAACAATGTGACTTTACAAAGTTACAAAGCAAAATTATGAAATCTTATTCAGGGCAAGTGATAGAGTTAAAGCAAATATGTTTTTGTTGAAAGATCAACAGATTTCTTAATTTTAAACCATATAGTGTTCCTTTGCTTTACTTATACAATAGCCTCTTGGTCTAGATATAGGTTTCGCATTTGCACAATTGAGTGTTCTGAGATTCCCTTTCTTCTCAATGTTAGCTATATTTGTTCTGATTCACACAGTCAAATGCCTTTGCTTAGTCAATAAAGCACAAATAAACATTTTTCTGGTATTCTCTTCTCTCCGCCAGAATCAATCTGACATCAACAATGTTATCCCTAGTGCTACAACCTTTACTGAATCCAGCTTGAACTTATGACAAGTCTCTATGCACTGTTCTAGTTGTCTTTGAATGATCTTCAGCAATATTTTCGTTGTATGTGATAGTCATGATTTGCTTGATACTTTCCACATCTGTTGGATCACCTTTATTGGAAATGAGAACAAATATGAATCTCATCTTAAAAATAGGCTTGAAACATTAAAGAGCAGTCCAGATGGGTTGTGGGACGACTTCAAGGATATCATCCATGAAGATAACAATAGGTCACTACAAATATAGAAGGGAAAATAATCAAAATGGATGTCCTAAGAGACCTTGAAAATTGCACTATAGTTTCGAGAAGCCAAAACAAAGTGAAGAGGTGTTAAGAAAAATAGCCAAACAGCACATTTCAAAGGGCAGCTAGAGAAGAGAATGTAATGAAATGTAATGTAATGAAAAAATGTAGAATATGTAAAATTATTATAATGGAATATGTGCTATTTACTGTCTCTGAAAATCAGCTAGAAAGTCAGCCATGAGTTGCTTCCAACTCAATTATATGCAACAGCAATAACAAAACAAAGAATACCTAAGTCTTAGAATATGTTTGCCTTTTGACATGGTATGTTAGTATGTACTCTGTCAGAAAAGAGGATTTACCCCTAACTCCTAGCTTGTTTACCAATTTTACAGATATAATATAGTTTCCATACAAGGGAAACATAGTCATTCACACATTTTACTCTGCTATAAAAGTGCACAGAAAGATTTTGTAAAGAATTCAAGAACGGTTGGTTTTTTGGAGGACACAGTTTCAGACATTGTCCCCTAAAAGCTATTATTATTTCATAGTAAAAAATTTTGCTTAACCTAAGAATGAAGTGCTGCTCAAACAACATGAAACTCTGAGGGGTGATGGATGGTATTGTCTTTTTAATACTTTTTCTCTACTAGTAAATCCACAGAAATCCAGAAATGGAAATATCAAATATTAGGGACAGGATCCTGTTGGCAACTATGTATGTTGTTGTAAGTCTGTTTTGGAAATGTTTGGAAGTGAGAGGTCCCTGACAATTGGGAATTTCCAGATACGAACCACAATTGCCAGAGGGTGATGAATGGAAGGCTTATTTCTCCAGTGAAGTGCCATCTGGGAATAGCCAGAGGGGAGATGGCAGCCTGGCCTGGAATTCCAGACTGGAAAGATTGTTAATATGAAAATTAAGTTGAAAAGAAATATCCTCTCTTGGAATAAAAAGTATAGGATAGTGTCACGAGAAGGAAGGAAAATATGGAAGAGTAGAATAACATAATGCAAGTAGCAGCAATTTTTAAAATAGAAGTCAAGCTAATTCATAATCCCTTCCCTAGTATAAAACAATGAAATGCAAGCCAATAGAATTATCCCAACATATCTAGCATTACATAGAGCTGACTTTCCTAGGTGCGTGCCTGGAAATTGAACTAAAGTGAGCCTAAAATTAGATACCTGTCAGCTTTTTTGCCCTTAAAAGATTAGTTACATATATATGACCTTTAAACTTACAGCTAGACAAAAGACTTGACAAGATTTTTTAAAAAGTCTAGTCCCAGCATATTTAGATCTTTTATTACTGTTCTGTATTACTGTGCTGTATCTAATTCTGATAGTTTTGCAAAACAATTCAGCCTCACAGATTAAAATCTATTTCCCACCTCTTTATGTACTACTGTGTCAAGCAGTGGAGCACATGACAGCGTCTTTGCACAGTTTCAACAAGCAGGGATTCAAAACTGAGTACCTCTTCCCATGGTCTCTTTCTTATTTTATCACAATACAGTTTAAATGTACAAGGAGAACAGTGTCTATCTCCCTTATGACGGTTCATGCTTTCACCACACTTCTCATCGCCAGTGTGGCAACTCTTAGATGTATAAATTAGGAACATTTTTGTTTGGATGCTGTTTTTGCTTACAGGATCAATGCTAATGTGAACATGAAGATTCTTGGATGAAAAATCTTTAACTTTTATTTTGATGTTCATTCTACTTTATCTGCTGTGGGGTGTAAGTTCAGTCATTGCCATTGAGCTGGAAAACTTCTGACCTTTCTTTGGGTTTCTAAGGCTGTAAACTCACACGGGAGGAGATTGCCCATCTTTTTTTCCCACTTTTAGTTCCATGAAAGAACATAGAAAGCTGTCTCTGATGAAAATACGAGGAAGGATGGTCTAAGAAAAGAGTTCTGGACTTAGTTCTGCCATTTGTGGCCCTGCAAAAGAAGAAATGGGTGGGGGTGGGGGCTGAGAATATGTTGAATTTAATAATCATAGTGCATGGATGACTGGGAGCTCTGGTGGCCTAGTTGTGAGAAACTGCACTGCAATCCCAAAGGCACACAGTTCGAATCTACCACCTGCTCCACGGGAGACGGATGGGAAATCTGTGTAATTAAATTGCCTCTGAAAACCTGCTGCAGGGTCAGCTATGGGTCAGTTCTGACCCGGTAGTACACAACAACAACAACAGTACATGGCAGCTAGTAAATGTCTTCATCTCTTTAAACCTCAACTTATTTATCTAGAAAATATGGATAATACCTGGCTCACCTTTTTCTCGGATATTAAGAAGGTTAAATAAGCTGATATATAAGAAAATGCTCTACAGATTGTAGTGTTGTACAAACGTTAAGACATGCCCATGCCAGTAACTTTTACCGAGCAGAAAGAATCCTTAGTAGACTGTACACAGGGTATTAGGATCACCGCTGTTCGCTTCTTAGCTTTAGCAATGTTGCAATGTCTTCCCTCACTTTCTATATAACTTCATATTAACACTCTTTGAAGACTTTTGATTTCGAGCTGGCACTTCTCCATTATAAATATATAGCACTATGTCACATCACCCCAGAGGCCAGAATCCGAACTCACTTTATCAAAGCTTTAATTCAGGGCAAAGCAAACCCGAAGCAGTTCTCAGGGACTGCTTACACACCAGCGGCCAGACTCAAGTTGACCTCTGTATCCCTTAGCCTGATATACAACTGACCGTCCTCAGTTAAATTGTAACGTGGTGGCATGAAATCTTCCAGATTAATGTGTTAACTTTCTTCACCCTCCACCTCTTTTTTTTTTTTCTTTCATCTTAGAAACTGACAGTATCCCATCTGTTTTTGCAAGCCTCACATCAGAGGAGCCTGTATTAGCAGAGTCGCATACAGGTATACCCAGCTGCGCGATTCTAACCTTTGAACCTTGGCATTCTGACTGTTCTGAGTTTAGGTCTTCTTTTGCAGAGTGTAAAAACATACTTTCTGGATCTTCACAGGGGTCAAATAGCCTTCTCTGTCAGGGAGCCATACTGCGTACTTCTTCCATTGACCATTTATTTTTTGTATCCACCAGGCAATGATTTCTTCCACATCTTTGAAAAGCAATTAGCATTGGTTGCCTTTAAGGCAAACTAATGTAATACTCTATCACTCAGAATTCTTAAAAGCTTTTAAGGTCTTAGAGAGCTTTATTTTAGAGCAGAGGTTTTCAAATGGGAGGTGATTTTTGCCCTCCAGAATATATTGGCAGTGTCTAGAGACATTTTGGTTTTTCATAACTTGGGGAAATGCTACCCACATCTAGTGAGTAGACATTGGAGATGCTACTAAACAGTGTGATTTATACACACACACACACACACACACACACACCCTGCATCAAAGAATAATCAGGCTCAAAAGTCAATAATGCCAGAGGGAGAAATCCCCATTTAGACTGAGCAATCATTAATTTTTTAATAGAGATCAGTTGAAGCATTCCTAGTTTGTGATCCATCCATAGTGAATTTAACTCAATCTAACAGCTTCTTCCAACATTTATTAAGCATCTGCTAATGAAGTTGTTTATGGAGCTGGCATCCCATGGACTGCCAAAAGAACAAATAAATATATCTTGGAAAATGTGAAATGAAATGAGAGTGTTCCTTGGAGGCAAAAATTATAAAGCTTTGCCTCACATACTTAGGCCATGTTAAAGTGTGAAGATGGTGTAGGATAGGACAGGGTTCAGGTCTGTTGTTCTTATGGTCACTATGAGTTGTATTCAACACAATGCCACCTAACAACAACAACAACAACAATGGAGCTGCTTGGTTGTTTAAAGTGAGTAGAACTGGAGATTGATCGGTCTATTTACCTATGTGTGCATATATATACACACACACACATATACACATATTATATATATATATATACACACACACACACACACACATACACATAGATATAGGTATTATAGGTATATTCTTTAATATATCATCTTATTTGTATCATGCTAAATAAAGGCAAATAATCTCAAACACAGATTTTTTAAAAAGCAACACACCATGATATAGAATGCTAATGCTGATTTCTGTGGTCAACTATTAAATAAAGGGAAAAGAACAGAAAAACTATTGAAAACTGGTCACATATAAGCTGCTATTTTATCATCATTTCTAATTTTTAAAGTATGTATGTTTTAAAAAGTGGACCCCTTCAACTCCTAATGAATCACTAGTTTTCAAATGTTGGTCAAAAGTCTCCCAAGTGTTCCTGATATTTTTCCCCATCTGAGCATAATTTATTACTCATGAATTTGTATTTTATTCCTGGGACCTTCTCCTGCTTTTGTAAATGTTGACATTTATTCCAACAGCAACAAGTGATCCTATTCTGGATTCAGGCCCACCTAAAACTTCTAGAACTCTTGAATGGCCAAAGGCAACACCGGGTAATGTTTTTAACAGAAAAATCATACTTTGTTTTCCATCAAAAGAAAATTCATGTGAACATCTTTCTTCCAAATAACCATTGCATTCATTCCATTGCATCTACTCATTTTTCACCACCATATCCTTAATATATGCATTTTTCCTTAATAATGCAGGAATCTTTTATATCCTATTTTTTGCACTATTTTCCTTTTTGTCTATGATGGATACGTTTTCCATTCATAAAGAATCAAAAGATTTCAAAAACTGCATGGAATTCTTCACCTTCCTCATTGCATCCTGTGTGCTTGTGTCCTGCATCACTTCGTTTCCATGCATCACGTCTGCCTGGAGTCAGGTGCTGGACATAGCTCATCTTGGGCTTTTTTCTTCCCTAATTCATTGTTTCATCCACCGACTTTCAGGACTGCATGCATTTTCCCATCCTTAATCATGTACTTGAAGCATGTGCTTTGTACCATCTGAAAGCATGTACAACTTCTTAAAAGACTTCATTCTAACTGGAACTGTTTGGTGGGCTGGGGTGTTTGTATTTGCAGCTCCAAGCGAAACATCATTTGTTCCTCAAAAACTGGAAATCTTAACCATTCCTGAAATACAGCCTACAATGCCTGGTAATTAATGACATGTGTGCAGTTGTGTGCTTTGAAATAGCAGATAAAGTGGCAAAAAGAAGACATCAGTCAACTTGGCCTTTTGAAAATGGTTGTCTTAGTAAATATTTTCCTTTATTCCCTACCATGAAATTTTTCAAAGATCTGGGTTATGTATTATATGTAGCCTTGTGATAATCCTCAAAGAAATTCCTTAATTTTAATGTGTCTATATTTCAAAGAGTGTGTCTTCTTTTTTAGTTCCTCCAGCTGGAGCTCCTCCCAAATGGAAAATACCAATAGAAAAATAGATGAGAACTATTTTAAAGTATAGTCCTTTCTATTTGCATACTTAGCTGCCTCTTGGGAAGACATTCCCTTTAATATATTAAAATAGGAAAGATGCCAAGTAGGTTCTCTAATCTTTCACATTAAGAAAAAGTAAGATAAAAAAAGAGTTAACAAAAATGTACATTTTAGAGCAGAATCTCATAGTGATTATAAATATCTGCCAATTCAAGGTAAGGATAATAATGAGCTACAGAATGAAACAAATTCTCTAAATCTCAAATAATTTCTTATTCTTCTACCTTGCTACTCAACAATTAATTTTCTGAGTTCTTTATTGTATCTTCTGAGATTCCTCGCAGTATGTTTAACTGAACAAAGTATCTTTAATCTTCATATGGAAATTAAAATAATTTTGTTACAATGTGGGGGGAAAGGCTTTTAGGGAGTTATTGTCTTTAAAGAACCATATGGACACAATAGAGAAACAAAGACATATAAGCTATATGTTTGCACTGAAGTGGCTTACAGGTATAAACTGTTGAATCCCCGAAATAACATTTATCATAGCTATACTAAGTAGTGGAAGCAGGAGTGATATCCGCTTCCTAAACAACATGCCTCTGGAAACTCTATGAACTTTGATAAATGTTTATAGTTATAGAGGGGCTTCAGGCCTTTTGTTCATAGGGTAACTATAAGTCGTGCTCAACTTGAAGGCAATCAACAACATATTAAGTAGAATGGGCAAGATTTTGATCTGTTGCTTTGATTCAGAGTCAGCTCAAGAGCACCTAACTACAATATTAAATCTTTTTACAGCTTCACCGTCTACTACTTCTATTCCTTCTACAACGAAACAACGCCCAAAAAAACCACCAAGGAAAAAACCTGGTAAATAAATGTCTCTTAACGTTTCAGGATACAGCTTTCCCCTTCAATCCAAAAGGAGGACGTTCTTGTGAAACTTTTAATAAGGTGAAATTACCTAAAATGAAGAAACAATGACCATTAATCTTTATGTGAAACAATTTTGGAATGTTCTAAGACCCAAAATATAGCTACCAAATTATAACAATGTATAAAACCTAGGAGAACATTGACAGATAGTGTTCACAGATGTTATTTAAAGTTGTGGCTTGATGTTGAATGTAGTTCCCAGGAATAGAACGTGGCAATGCCACTTTCATGGGTCATTGCAGAACAAACACTTGAATACTAGTTTAAATTGTTACCTTTTTCCCATGAAAGCAAAAGTCATCCTCAGATATCTTTCAGTTAGTAAAATCAGTTGCTAGTATAGGTCTCTCATAAAAGCAAAATAACCATGAAGCTAACTTTTGAAAAGCCGGAGATACTTGAATTTAAGTCCAAATTGAAAATACCCATCCCCTATGATAGATTATCTCTTTTATATAATTTGAAGTTAACCAAAGAGTGGTAATTTGTAACACAATAGCATACATTTAAAAAATTTCCCAAAAACTTGTATTGTGATTTATGCATGTGATATTCTTGTGTATACATTTCAGGGTAAATCAAGAAACAAGGCATGCTATCACAGAATTAGACAGTGAGATATGTATTGTCCTCATTTTTCTAAGGAAGCTCTGGTGGTGTAATCTGTAGACAGTTGTACTGCTAACCTAAAGGTGGCTTGTTCAATCCACCAGCAGCTTCAAGGGAAAATGATGGATATCCCCCTTGCCTGTGACTCAAAGACTCTGAAAACTCAACTATAAGTTGGTTCCAACTCAACAGTAATGAGTTGGGATGAGCAATTTTCCTGGTTTGTATCTACTTTAACTGTTTATTAGGGTGAGAGTTATAAGGATTTTTGGTGACCAAGGAAGTAAAACTCTATGTATAGTTTTGCACTTAAAACAAGGACAGCGGCTGAATGAGATGGATAGGATTTGAATCCTACTTTTAAGTTGCTTAATACTATTGATACCAGCAGCCAGGAAATTAAAATATGAATTGCATTGGGAAAGTCTGCTGTCAGAGACCTCTCCAAAGTACTTAAGAGCAATGATGTTTGTCTAGAGACTAAGGTGTGCCTGATACAGGCCATGGGCTTTGCAATTAATTGCTATGCATCAGAGAGCTGGACAATGACTAGGGATGATAAAGGGAGAATTGATGTCTTTGAGCTGAGGTGCTGGAGAAGAGTACTGAATATACCATAGACTGCTATGAGAACAGTTTGTCCTGGAGAGGATGAAATCAGGCTGCTTCTTAGAGGCAAGGATTCTGAAGCTTCCTTCATCTGACATACTTTGGGCATGTTGTAAGGAGGAACCAGTCCTTGGAGAGGAATGTCATGCTTGGCAGGGTGGAGGGACAGCGCAGGAGAGGAAGTTGAGATAGATTGATTTAGTGACGGGTAATCGGGATGGGTGTGTCAGAGACAATAAGATTGGCACAGGGTAGAGCAGGGTTTAAGGCTGTTGTACATGGGGTTGCTAGGAGTCACAAGCAACTCAACGGCACATAACAACAACAACAACAACAACCCCTAGAAGAATATTTGACCAAAAACAACTAAAACCAGGCCTGAGGGCCGCAGATTAAAATCACCCACCTTTGTCGTGGTGGCATAACTTCCTATCTTCTAGGCCAACAAAACTCTCTAAATGTTTTGGATATACCAGATTTTATTATGAAGACTGCTTGTGAGATCAGAATACTTGTACGGAAGCTCAGAGAAAGACTGAGAAATGAGAATGCAGACCTTAGAAGAGCTATATGATATAAACAGAGGGAAAAGATACAGTATGTATTACAGCACTGAGTTTATGTGGGAGATATAGTTTATCAGCTTGGAGGTGATATGCTTTCATTGTCAAAGAACGGTCTCCAAAGCATGCCAAATATAGTAGGTTCTGCTTATTTCATGGTATTGGAAAATATTCTATGAATATAAACAGTAACATATTAATAATATAAATATTTAGTAGAAAATATGTATTGTTAGAAGGAGTTCTGATGCCACAGTGATTAGAATGCCCAGCTACTAATCAAAAGGTTAGCAGTTTGAACCCACTCATTGGTTTGTGGAAGAAAGATGTGGCAGTCTGCTCCTTTAAAGATGTACAGCCTAGGAAACCTTCTGGGGAAGCCCTTAGAGTCTTGTGAGTCTGAATGAACTCAATCAAACTTTGACCCAAGTAGCCACTCACCAGAGATTTTGTAAACACTGACTATTAAATGTTGTTCTGGTGTATCCTCAAGTTGGAACAAACACATAGCTGACCTTCCAGCCAGTTTTCAAAGGCTGTAATTTGCACTGGAGGTGACTGCCTCTTTTTCTCCTGCAGAGCAAGTGATTAATTCGAACCACATGTTTTTTGATTGGCAGCACAGCTTCTTACCACTAGACTACCAGAGCTCCCTAACTGTTAAATGGTGGAGGTGTTTAAAAGACCTTTTCAGTCCCATTTTGGAAGATAATATTTTACTATCTCAAAGGTCTCTTAAAAAAAAAATGTATCTTAACTCTTTTTCCCCCCTCCCATCACCAGAAAGAACCACAAAGCCTGGAAGAACTACATCCAAAATGCCTCAAAGACTTGAACCTACACATTCAACACTAGGTAATAACGGAATTTCTTTAGAAGACACATTTATTTTACCATGGAAAAATCAGTACCGCGGGTGTTATGTAATGGCTCCATAGCTCTTTTGAAGGGTTCATTTGAATAATATTGAGTATCAGAATGTGCTGGCTCCATGGGTACCCAGGCTGGGGACAGCTGGTCCTGTAATCAGGAGATAGGAAGTCAGCATTTCTACATCCTCTTGTTCCTTAGAAAGTCAATAAACCATAGCTTCTTCCTGTGTACTACACAGTTATTGAGTTTGAAGTGAAGTCTTACATATAAGGTCTCTATTTCTTAATAAGACCCTCAAGTTAACCTTCAAAATCATTGGAAGAGGGGCAGGGAATGACTTTTTTTTATTGTTTTAGGAGAATTTTGTTAAGCTTCCAGAGATCTGCACTATAATAACCAGTTACTATTAATTTTAAAGTGTGAGGTGGTTGTTTGGATTCCCCCCCCCTTCTTGTACTTAAAGACTGATATTGCTGAGTAAAGGTGCAAATTAACTTTGTTGTTGTTGTTATGTGCCGTCGAGTCGCTTGTGACTCAAAGCAACCCTTTGTACAACAGCCCTAAACCCTGCTCTGTCCTGTACCAATTGCACCGTCTCTGACACACTTACCCCGATTACCCCAGTAACTGAATCAACCCACCTCACAGAGGGTCGTCCCCTCCTGCGCTATCCCTCCACCCTCCCAAGCATGATGTCCCTCTCCAAGGACCAGTCCCCCCTTACAGCAAGCATGTCCAAAGTATGTCAGACAAAGCCTCAGAATCCAAGGAACAGCCCAGTTTAACCGTCTCAAGGATGAATCTGTTTTCTTAGCAGTCCTTGGTATCCTCAATACTCTTCTCCAGCACCACAGACTGTTTTTAATTTCTTAATCATAAATTGAAATCACTATCTTCATATTATTATTTGTGATTATTTACTATGATGCTATAGTCCTTTTTCTTCTACAGAATTAAATATATCTTTGAAGTGTTTTCAGAGCAAATAAACATTTATTTTTTACCTTTACCTTTCTATTAGATGCTGTTATATAAATGGAAGATGGCATTTTTTAATGGAGTTTTTCCCAAATCTTTCAATTTGATGAGTTTATTACACTTAGGAAACATAATTTGCTTTTAGATTTTTCTTTTGCGGTTTAAGACACTGAAATGCATAAGTGTTACCTATTGATTGTTTCTTTATTTCTTTCCAGCTCCAAGTAAAACTCAGTTTATTTCTTTGAAACCTAAACTCACTCTCAGTCCAGAAGCAACACACACCAATGATGGTAATTACTCTCTCTGTCTCTCTCTCTCCCTTTTAATATTACAAAACTAGGACTGAAACTTATGCCATGCATCTCCCAAGCAACAACTTCTGATTCGTATTTTGGCATGTGGCATGCTTTCCCATGGAAAGTGTGAAAATGCAATGAAATGACCTCATTACAGCCAGCCTCTGTCAGAGCATCACAGCCTTCTCTGAGCTATGTGGTGGGTCATTATACTCACAACCATCAACAGAGGAGACATAGACACGGAGCACTGCGAATGAGTGAGGACACCCTTGTCTAGGAGTCCAAAATAGTTTCCAATACCAAAGTTGACTGGAATTCTGGTCCCCTTGCACGATAGTCTTTCATCCAGAAAGGCGAGATGTGTTTTCATCCCCAAAGAACTCCGCTTCGTGTAGTCGCCTCTCAGTTCTCAAGCTGCAAGATCAGAAAGGACTGTATTTTCCTAGTGCTCCAAGCCTTCTATCTAAATGAGGTCTTACTTTTGAATGCCAGCTTCTATTTGATTTTCAGTAGATATTTATGAGAACAAAAACTCTTTTGCAAGGAAGCATTTTTCTATAGGTACCATTTACAACAATTAGCAGCCTAAGTAAGAATTTTAGGATAGATTTAATGAGTAATTCTTTGTATTTGATCCTGCATATATCCTTGATATTGACCTGTAAGATAAGTTTTCTATATGTATAAGATAAGTTTGTAACTTTGCTACATCTATATCATCATGTTCTCTAAATTTTAAGTCCTTTAGGCAGAGAAAAAGATACTTTTTCACTGTTATATTTTGTGGATTGTGAACTCGTACTTTCATTAGTGGTATTAGTAGTATTAGAATGAGATTTTTGCTTAGTTGGACATGATTTGTTTTTGCAATAAATTGGGTAAGGAAGAAAATGTTCATGAGACAAATTCTCATGACTCCTTTAAAAAGGCAGTGAGTGGTATTTCCAGGTGTGAGTGTCAGCCTGAGGAAATTAGGGATTAGGCAAATGGTGTGTATTTGATGCTGTGACCATGGGTGAGGTCTTCAAGTCAGAGAAATGGAATGAAAATTGCCACTCAGTGAAGCTATTCTGGGAAGACAGAGTAACTGATGAGCCCTGATAATTTAAATAAAAGAGCTCTGACAGCTTTATAAGAGAGGAATTTCTTGTACAATTATGTATATATATAAATATGCTTAGAAGGCTTTAAGGGAACAAACATATGAAAGAAGGTTCTGAATTGCAAAAATGGTTTATATGCCCAAGTGTTAACTAAAAGTTTGAAGGGAAGATTCCACCTAGAACTTCCTTAAAGAAAGATAAAAATCTATTTCTAAAAAAACAGACATTGAAATTCTGGTGGGTCACACTTCTACTGTGATGCATAAGTACTGTAATAACTGCTGTGTTGATGCTATGTTTTGAATAGAAAGCATTATCATATGAATCAAGAAATGGTCGGGTGTTTAAGTCATCAAAGGAAGTAAACATTTTTTGAAATTACTTTGATTATAACTGGACAAAATTTGAAGATATGAAAATTATCATTCATACATAATAATAAGGTCTACTATTAATTTCAGAGGGTTGAAGCAAATATTTCATGGAGAAAATTCCTTAAAACACAAACAAGGAAGAAAGATGTTATTGCCAATCTTAAAATGTGTCAGCAAAGAACCTTCTTAATTGCAATTTCCTTTTCAAGAGTGAAGAATTATTTATGATAAGGAGATTATTTTCTTTCAATGTTTGCTTTCTTTTCACCTAACAATATGCTCACCTTCTGCCAACAGCAAGTCTAACCACTTTGAAATCTGCACCAACTCCTGCAGACTTTGAGGGCTTCCAAGGTATATGAAGTGCCCACAGGAACCACTGCACTTGGGGGTTTTGGTTTGGTTGGTTTTGGGTTTTGGTTTTTTTCAGGACAGACCATCTTCAATGTTCCGTAGAAGGTTTTTGTTTCTAGCCAAGGTTCAGAAGAATATGTAGACAAGCAAAAGCTTTTTGATTGAAATAATCGCTGCCTTTTTTCCTCTGCTCACAGGCTCCTGTTTCTCCACTTCAATTTCAATGTGGTTTTCCTTTGTGGTTAGAATAATGAGTAAAAATTCACTTAGGTTTGTTGGTTTGGGTTTATTTCATAAGTAGATTCCAATGTCTTTCTCAAAAACCACAGCCATCTCCTATGTCTCAGCATTTTAACCTCATCCAATAAGTACTGCTCTCTTTATTTAACTTTGTAGTTGTGCATTCAGGTCTCCAAGCATTAAAGGAGTTGGGGGTAGGGGGAAAGGAGAGTGCCTCCAAATATAGATTTTTTTTCTCTCTTCATGGTGGAGACAGTTGCAAGTTACATTCTTTACTAACCGCAAATATCTGAGCAGTTTGTACTTACCTTTGTATGTACCTGAGGTAAGAGGTTAGTCATTGGCTTGCTATTCAGTTTTCTGATGGAATTTTAAACCTTTATTCTTTACACTTTGAGATAGTCAAAGAGAAGAAGAATTATCAGCAGAGGTATTTGATTTTAGTGTTAATATTGATATCATATTGACATTGATGAAGTCTCATGGCTTAGTGATAGTGTTGTGCTGCCAACTCAAAGGCACACAGTTCTAATCTCCACCAGCTGCTCTGATGGAGAAAGATGGACACTCTCTTGTCATGTGATTAACTGTCTCTGAAAACCCAGTCGAGGGTCATCTCTGCGTCAGTTCTGATTTGGTAGTACAGAACTGCAACATTATCATTGATTGACATTAGTCGGTCTTGAATGAGATTTTGTTTGTTTGTTTTGAAAAGTCTTTAATGCTGGGCTTACAAAAATGGATTAATATCTTAATTGCCACTTAATAATGTTTTGTGTCTATTCACTGTTCTTGTTTCCAAAGAAAAATTGTGAATCCTATCTTTGCCTAAATGATGTGTCATAAAAGTCACCTCTCTTGAAATCCTATCAATGAATTAGGACCTTGCTGTGTGTGTTGTTGGTTTGTAGACTTCTTTTATTAAAAGCTTGGCCCTGCAGAACCTGAGGACCAATAAAATTTTGCTTTTCATATCTGGTGGCTTCTTAAAAGCAAGCTTTCTGAGCCTCTGGTTGAATGCACATCTGCATTATGTTTATATGACTGCATTCGCAAACAAGTGCAAGATTTTGAATTTTTTCAGTCTTAAAATGGAAGACTAAAGGGAGTCTTCCCTTACTTCCTTACTTCCCTTAACAGTTAATAATGGCCAGTCACTGTTTACCAAACATAAACTAAAAACTATATCCTTTAAAGGTTTCATTTAACTAAGCAAATAATACAAAACTGCAAAACAAATTATATTATTTACTGTCATGTGGGAATAACTCATAGAGGACCCTCCAGTGGGTTTTCAGACTGTAAATCACACAAGTAGAAATTGCCCATCTTTCTCCCACATTAGCTGTTGGATTCGAACTGCCTGCCTTTGATTAGCAGTGCAACTCCTTACCCATGAGGCCACCAGAGCTCACTAAACAGATATATAATCATAACAAATAAAAGGACTTACCTGTGCTTTATAAAGATAGATAGTATTGTCAGTTTGCACAGCCACCATCTCTGTAATAACGAGCTGATTTTCTTCCTTCAGCTTCCAAAATGAGGACACGACCAGGTCGTCGCCGACCTAAAACCACACGTAGTCCAGAAGTATCCAAGTCCAAACCTGCTGGTAAATGTGATATTCAGGACCCAGTTCTCATAGACAGATGGATGCAGTCATTCTGTTTTAAGAGGCTGAGTTTTGCATACCAGAGTTTTTAGTTTCTGTGTTTGAACATCTGTACTTATATTTTGTGTCCTGGTTTGTATAAGTTGTTAAGAGCTAAAACACTAACAAAACAGTGCAGTAGATTGAACAAGAAAGGCCTAGTGATCCGCTTTTGTAGGGTCACAGCCTTGAAAACCCTATAAAGTACTTTTATTTTTGCATATATGATGTCGCCATGAATCAAAATCAACATGGTTTGGGCTTTAGTTTGGTTTACTCATTTTCTGTATTCATACTTATAATCATAGATACACACAGTAATGAAATGACCCACTAAATAATCATTGGAGTATTAAAACTCTACATAATATGTGTAAAATGGAGGATAAGATTAAGAAAAGCCACAGGGAGGAGAGCGAGTGGGAAAATATCAGAGGGAAAATCGTACCTAAAAAACGTGCCGTTTGGGAAAAGCAACCTAGTTTGAAAAGTGACGTTTTGTTCTTCGTGATGCTGCTTCTTGGTTTAATCAGTGCTCTCTATTTTTTTGCTATTATAGCCGTGGAACCTGTTACTCTAAAACCCAAGTCCTTGGTGCCCGTAACTGGTAATTCTACCCTCCCCAACTGCTCTCATGATTTGTCACATTTGTGTTTCCCATTCTCCACTTCAGGCATGATTATGATTCTACTACCTCATCAACACCTCATTTAAGCTTCCGCTCACATTTGTGAGTCCAAAGAGCCTGAAAATAGCAGAGCTCTTCTGGAAGAATCCTGCTGTGCTCATTTAAGGAAGATCTGTGGTCTTGGACATGACTTCCTGGTTCTTTACTCAGCCTCTGTCCCTCATCACATTTTGTCTTCCTCTTGAGAAAACCATTTGTTCTTTCTTAGACACACAGTCTGTGCTCATCCTGAATGAATAAATGGCAACATTTCATTCTAGTGCTATGTTATTCAGTTCATTGATTCATTCATTCATATTTGTTAAGACTATTCTCCCTTTTAAAAGTTGCATGAACTAATGGGTTCTTCAGTTTGTATGTTTCCTTGAAAAATGGTGTTTTGTCTTTAGTTTTGTTTCTGTCTGTGTTTCATGTTCCAATGCAAAGGTAGGTCAGTATTTCTAACTTGAGAACATTGAAAGTTCCAAACTGGCTTTATTGTCTTTATTCACAACTTTTTTCAGTATAGTTTCTCAGCATTCACAACAAATCTATCACTGTTTTATATTGAAAAGTTCCAGAGAACTAGCTCTATAACA